AGAAAAGATTAATTCATTTGACGCTATCCAAACCCAAAGTTTCTGCCTAACAAAAACACCATGAACACAATCAAAAGTCAAACAACAAACCAGGGAAAAGCATTTATTTATAAGACATCCAAAAGGGTTAACTGACTTTGTGCATAAAGTATGTCTAGAAATATCAGTAAGAAAATAACACTCCCCCAACATGCATACACATGAAGCCAAAACATGGAGAGACAGTTCAAAGACAAGGAAACACAATGGCTCAACCAACTTCAGGGAGATGTTTAACCCCCTCAAAGCAAGACAAATGTAAATCCATACCCATGACCAAACACAACTTCTCGCATATCCAGCCAGGAGACATTCAGCAATGTGGTCAACTCCCTGGCCCAGGAAGGACTGCAGGGAGGAAGAGCACCTCACACATCCCTGATGGAAGTGTAACTTGGTAGTAAGATCTCTGTAGAGAGCACTTTGACAACATCTAGCAAAATAAAAATGCAGCCCACTTTGACTCTCCACTGCTAAGAATTTCATTTGTGCCAGGATTTCATTCTATATTGTATATTAGCCAAGACTGGAGACAACCTAAATGCCCCCCTTTTAGGTGACTAATTAGATCAATTATGACCCAATCATACAATGGAATACTGTGCTGACACAGAAAAGAATTAGGGGCTCTCTATGCATCCAATCCCAATATAGGCAAAAAAGGGGCATAGAACAGTGTATATAATGTTACTGTTTGTGAGAGAAAAATATATAAATGAAAATATACTTTGAATATTTCTGGAAGAATACATAAGCAACTGGTAACCATGGTTGCTTCTGAAGAGTGAAACTGGAGGCAGAGATGGCAAGAAATGTTACCCTACCATCTGCTTTCCATACCACATGCATGCATTTTTTATTAGTCAATTTCTAAAAATAGGTATGCATAAAGATGTTCCCTGTTGTGTTGTATATACTACACGAAATAATTAAAACACCATTAGCATGACCTAACAGTGGGTTCGTTTTAAAATATTACTATTGCAATTAAATTGTAATTATTTTTAATCCTAATTAAATTGTACTGAGTCACTTTATTGTCTTGAGTACCAGAAAAAGAATACAAATTACTTCTCGGGATATTTAAACAACTCTCAGGTGTCCTTACAGAGTAAAAGCTAGCAATCTTTGAGAATTCATGGAGAACAGAAGAAACAGCAGATGACTGGAGATAGACAAGCATCCCAAACTTCATTTACAGAAAAAGAATGGAGCTTAGAAAGTTTAGCTGACATTGACTTTTTGCAAAATTCTAGTAATTATTCAAAGTGGTGAGCATTAGAAACCAGTAAGAGTTCACTCAGAACGATGCGGAATAAACTATGCAAGTTATTAAGAAAAATATTTTGGAATCAGCAGGGTTGATTTTTTTACCTGGCTGAGTAAAATCTCAGAAGTACCTGGCCGCTGGGCTGCACAGGGACTGCTGGTGTGGGTCAGGGAGGCCAAGCAACCCCTCCTCCCGCCTCAGTTCCTCCAGAAATGTCCTCTAAATGACTCTGCAGGAATTTATTAGGCTTTTCTTTTCAGGAAGGCACTGACAATATCTTCCAACATGACTGGGAGATACAATACAGAGCTATAAGTGACATCAGGAAGTTGAACACTGGGCCCTGGCCCACTCAAGTATGCTGGCATCCACTGATTTAAACTCCAAAGAAATGCTCAGTGTTAAGACCGGCCTCAGATTACTCAACATTCTTAATGAAAGGAAATATATGTCAAAGGTTTTGAAACTTCATAGGGCTACACAAAATAAACTTGATATTATTATTGTTGCTTTTGTTGTTGTTGTTATTTTGAAGGCATGACAAATTCTGGAACAGATAACAAATACCAAGGACCAAGGCAAAAACAGAAATAAAAAAAAGATCCTAATAGGAGAGATCTAATAACCCAAAAACTATTCAGATGAAACCTATCTTGTGCAACATGTCACACAAGCGTAGGCTGAGAAAGCCCTGGCATAGTATAATCCCATAAAGGTTTGGTGACCGTGGTCTCGAAAGAGAAGCATGTGCTGAAAGCCTAATGCATCAACTGTAGGCTTCGTGCATGGAAGCAGTGTCCATTCTTCCTTCCTCCTGGTTAGAAGACACAGGGCCTGCAGGCTGCGTGCTGGGTGCCATGCTGAAGAGACATGTCCAGTGGAGCAGTCAATACAGCGGAGTCTGTCGTGTATGGCAACAGCTGAAGCAGCTGGAGACGTCTTAGCCAGGAAATAAACTACGGACCTGGGCATCCTCTACCACTTGACTTTGTATTACATGAAGGAAGAAGAATCCTTCAGAGGGACAAGTTGCACACATGGGCATGAGATGAACCCAGTTCTAATCACCAAAAAACAGGCCTCTCTGCAAGGAAGAGTAACTATGAAGCGGGCTGCCTGGGCAGGGGCTCCCTTCCCATCCTGGAAGAGAGACCCACATACTGGATCTGATTCAGGAGGGGAGAGAGGCCTGAAGGCCTGAAGATCTCTTTTAACTATAATAACCTGGGATTCTAACTGGCTTGCCAGTTTCATGTCTAATGATAAAGACATTCCGTGAGGCTTATTTGCAGGTATGATGGGAGTCAGAAAAGAGGACACAAAAGGCAACTTCTCAGACCCTGATCTTTCCTCCACTGACAGAAGACAAATCTTCCACTTTTTCGTCTACTTACAAAGCACACAGCACCTGACCCCTAGAACTCAGCCCCATCACAGGATACCTTCCACGTTTGTACATCTGATAGTGCACAGCCAATGGAGGAGAAAATCTGCCTGGGTATGGGTGCCAAAATGTGCTCTAAAAGCTCTTTAAAGCATTTGTTATGGAACAGAACACTGTGGAAGGACAGTCCTTTATTTAGATCTTGTTTGTGTGTGAGAATCGATATGAGCCTGCTAGTCTTTATCTTACAAGAAAATGTGTGTCTAACTATTGTCCCAGAGTCTTCTCCTCCCAGTCTTGCTTGTCAGCTCTATGTCACTGTGACTTATCCAGCACTCCTAAACACATTGCACACATTAGTGCCATTTTTTACCCTTTTGAATGCTAATTTAGAAAGAATTTCCAGCTCTCCAACATGCCTGCATAGCCTGTATTCAAGAACTATTTTAGTTCTCTCCTCCCACCATCCATGGGCAAAGTGTGAATAGCTGTTCCTGGATCCCCACCACTAAGTTAATGACAGTCTATCCCACCTCCTAACTTTTGAGTCTGCCCTCCATCTGACCCAGGAGAGAGCACCCTCCTCTCACATTTGCTTTGATCTATTTTATTCTTCCTCTCTTTAGAAGGGGGCTTAGAGTATATGAAAATGTTGCCAAATCCTTACTTTCACAGAAATACAGACTATTAAAATAGTCATTGTTAATTTCCCCATGCTGGTCAAAACAAAATCCAAATATTGCCCCCCATCAATGGGAAACAGAATCACAGAAACACCTTTGGGAAGGCCAACCTCACTGGGGGGACCGGGGTGTCAGGGTGAACTAAGTTGAAAGGATCTTCCCTACTTAACAGCTAATCCAGACAGTTCCCACAGGACAGATCATTTCTTGCCAAGATTAAAACAAGGGTTATGATGATGTAAGAGTTTCATCTTACACATCTGTGAGCTACAAAGTTTACTAACACACATTTGGGGGGAAAATACATGCACATTGGTTATCATAAACTGTTAAAATTCAGTCTCACATTTAAACAAATCATTTAAAACTCTGCCCAGAACTGCCCAGAAGAGGAAAAGGTCTACATTTACTTGGAAATGCAAATTCGTTATTTAAAACACAAAAAGGGCAAAAACCACAAACTGCTTGACAAACTGGCATAAGATATCTCTTATATGTTAAGAAATCCAGAAAATTATAGATGTCCTGGGCACTGATGTTCTAAGATTGCTCATTCTCCATTTTTATGCTGGCCACACTTCTCTCACCAAACACTGTTCCATTCCAATGAAATACCTCTGCTAGAGGAGCTCCAATGGACTGGACGCAAGTTGCAAGTTCAGCTAAAGCTGATCAGGGTCCCAATGCCTCAGATAAAGGCAGCTGCTATGTAGGAGCATGGGGCTCCCTGGGTACCGAAACATTCTTAGTGTCCTTCCTATACTCCGTGATGTTTACTACAGTCCTGAGAAATCACTAGAGGGAACAGTGGGGTGGCTAAGTCTAAGGCCAAGTATGCCCATCTTAGGAGGAGACTGAGCCTGGGAATGGGGGGAAGGGAATTTTCGAAAGCTCTTTGCTTCTCTGGCTACAACTTCAGTGCCTTAGTGGGCTTTAGCCTGTTTCCAAAGCAGGCAGGAGATGGCTAAGGTATCTGGGAACAGGGCGCTACGCTCATGGATAGATAGCTCTTCATGGCAGACATAGCGATAGCTGGCCAGGCGGAAGAGCGGAGCCCCGGGCCTGGAACCGCCAGCAGACCTTGAATGAGGCAGGGCCTCCAAGGCAGGCTTGGTGACAGGTCAGAGGCCTTACCCTCCACCGGCCACTCCTCGCCTCATGAGGGTGACAGCCAGCAGGATGGGAGAAGGAAGCTCTAGTCTTCTGGGGGGAGGGGGAGACTCTTTCCCTACGTGCACTGGGGCAGAACTTGGGGTGCAAATTAGGAGAGGCTATGGTGGCCCCTTAGAGTTAGGAGGCCGTGTCACTGCGGAGGGCTGCAAAAAGCACTCGCTTCAAGTCAATGCATTTGTTTGGGGGACAGGAGGCTATTACGTCAATGCGGGGTGCGGCAAAAAGCACTCGCTTCAAGTCAATGCATTTGGGGGACAGGAGGCTATTACGTCAATGCGGGGTGCCTGTACACACAGGTCAGCATCACTTTAGGGACTCCATCCTTCGTCCCTGGTTGCCGTTGCTTAGACCTCGGTATATAAGGAGAGGGACGGAGGTAAGGGTGGAGGTGACCTAGGAGTGAAAGGGACTTAGGGGAAGGACACGGGGCCGGGGCGGTCGCGGCCCTTACCTTGCTGACCACGTTTTGGACGAGGCCTGTGCGGATGCCATAGTTCCACGCGTGGCAGTCGCAGTTAGAGGCGTTGTCCCCCTTGTCCGGAGGGGACCACAGGGGTGGCGTGTCGCCCCTGTCCGCTCCGCTGCTGTTGCTGAGGTTGCCCGCGGGCCCCCAGGCGGCCGTGGAGAAGGAGGTGGTCGGGGGGCTGTTCCAGTTGGCTCCGTCGTAGGCTCCCCACCGGCCAGTGGAGGTGACTCCCGCCAGCTCGGCGCCTTTGCCGGCCTCGCGGCACCAGAAGTTCGGCTGGTCCAAAAGGAAGGAGTCCGAGAACTGGCTGAAGCCGATGAACAGCGCCGGGATCCAGGTGAGCAGCACGAGGGTCTTCTGGTAGCCCCCGCCCAGGCCCCCGAGGAAGGGCAGCACCGACCCGTCGTAGTCCAGCAACAGGAGGCTGGGAGCCGCCGCGCT